AAATTACCTCCTAAAAAACTATTGGTGGTTTCGAATTGTTATGCAATTTTTTTGACTCCATTTTTAGGCCAAATAATGGTTCCCTCTCCATTCAGATAAATTTTGAAGCAAAAAATTTTCCATTTATTTTTCACAAAGATGAAAAACCATTTTTATTCTTTCTTCCTCTCTCCTCCTCTCCTCCCTCCTCCTGCCCATAATTATCCAGACAAATTGAGTTTAGTGGTGGTCCATTAGTTCAGCTAAGCACTCAGTATCCGGTTTACAAAGACCTTGGCAACCCTTTCCTCCCTTCTTCCTCCAACTCAAACCAACATTGTTTAAGAGCAAAAAATAGGAAACATACTGGTATTAAGAGCAATAACACTATTAAATGTCTGAGTGTTTTTGAAGTTAACTCATTTTCTTGTAATATTATAACAAAAAACTTGAACAAAACTCCTTCAGGTTTACATGCATAATCAACTGTGTCGCTGGTCTTCAGCAAGTAGCACCGTCGCATTTAACCGTCCTAAACATACCGATTGAAGATGAAGAACAAACCGATCTAAGTCCATATTGGCAAATTGTTTTTGAGACTATTGAAGAACAGAGAAAATCTGGAGGCAAAGTCTTAATTTTCTGTGGTATGGGAATTTCAAGGTTAGTTCACATCCATTTCGATAGGTGGTACCTTCCGCACTATGCTGGCCCAGCTTTCACTTAGATAAAGCTTTTTATTTTAAAGACGATCTAAGCATTTTGCTTTATAAAGATTCAACAGTGGTAACGCTACGCTATTTGCCATCTCAAGATTGGATTGGATAATTCTGATCTGAACTGCTATTCTGCTTTCCCTTTTAGGCAGATAACAGTTCTAAGCAAGTAGTAAGCAGCATACAAAACATTTGTGAGATTTTAGAGGAAGCGTTACTTGAGAGTACTGTTCTAAGATTGACCAACACTACAAAAATTGCTTTGTTTGATTAGTAGAACCTGCGATATCGATGCTGAAGCTGCCGTAAAAGATTGTGCACACCGCGTTCAGTAAATCACTTAAATAACGGTTCACAGAATGCACAGCTCAGTGCATCAAGTTTTCTTCCCTCTGTAGTCAGACTAATGTCATTATGCTGCTCGAGTTCCCCTAACTATAATACCAACATTAATATAAATATATTAATTTGCAGATCAGCCTCCTTCGTAGTAGCTTATTTAATGTGCATTGAGAAGATGACGTTACACGATGCTTATAAGCACGTTCAACGGGTACGAAACATTATTTGTCCTAACGTGGGTTTTTTTAAACAGATGATCGAACTGGAACAAAAGGTATGCGCATGTCTCCTAAAAACAACAAAGTCCCCATTTTTCTAGCTTTTTAAACAAGAATAATTGAGAACTAATTCTACTGTTTCTTCAATCATCCTACACTTTTCCGCATTTCAGTTATACAACAAAAACACAGTAAAAATTATTGAACCCATCCCCGGAGTAGAAGTTGCTGATGTTGTGTGGAATGAACTGTATAATGAAGTGTTCAATAACTCTGAAAAAAATTCGTTGAGCCTTTCGATGGATTCAGTGGCTGCAACTTGAAACCTATCGATTGCCGTACAAAATTAGACCAGTTCTAAAGATCTCTATCTGCAAATGCACTTGTAACTTATGTAAAAATTGCATTTATTTTTGTGATAGTTCTCATGAGTATTTTTTTCTTACTAAAGACTAAATCTGAAAACCCAGTCGGCGACTTCCATCTTAAACTACTATATCAATCCACTCCGCGTTCGGCTGTTGAGAGGTCTGGAGGTATTGTTATCGAAAAATTTTAGAATAAGCATCACCTGAGTTTAATTCGCCGGTAAAATGCAGAATTTATGTTGAACAAATGTACAAAAAATAAGTTACAGTTTGATGATGAATACAGTATTCAAAAAGTGTGAAGCCAATACGTTGTTAAAATTCTACTTCACCAATTACACTTTTTAGATGTAAGTTCTGTTGGCAATAAACAGTGATTAGTCCAATGCAGTGGAATTCATACAATAACCAGATGCAAAACTCAATCCACTCAACTTTTTCTGTTTGCAAATGATCAAATCCTCCGCTGTATTTAGTCCACTTCCAATTGTTTACGAATCATATCCAGAATTTCAGCAACTTTGTATGACTCATTCTCTGTGAACTCCGGACAGCATTCTTTACTGCCTGAAAACTAGCATCAAATGATGAAAGAAAATCTCGAGATCACGAAACAGTAGCGGAAGCATCCGGTTTTATAGTACTATCAAATTAAAAATTTTTCGATCTTTTTCGTTCCAAAAATGTGAAAAGAATGAAGTAAAAGCACCTCTCAGTTATGCAAACTCTTGCCTGTCAAAAAGTGTTTTCGAACTCCAGCGGCTTCGTTTGCCAAACCATTCGAAGTCGGAAAATGGAATTTGTTCATATCACCCTTTGGTCTTTCAATATGGTGATTTTCTGACGACTGATTACCACCATCTACTACCATAACTGAATAGTCCTCCGGAGAATGCATGCTCGATGGAATCTATATTTTGTCAACAATAGAAATAAGCAATACAAATCACTGTGTAAAGTATCCTAAAGTAAAAATACCATTCAAAACGAATCTAACGTAAAGAACCTCAATTCTGCCCTTTGTTCCATAAATGTTGGCAGCACATTTCATTTCAGCAGTTCCAGAGTAGCTGAGAGAAGCAACTCTATGGCCCTCAAACTTTATTACGAAAGATCCCGTGACATCGACACCTAAAACTTTCTTTCTCTACTATTCGTAATTAACTACACAAATCATGTAACATTTCTAACATGTAATTACGTGCTGCAGCAATGAGAAGAAAACTGGGTAATTTGTAACGGGATAAATAACCCAGTTAAACAACCGCAAAGGAAATCACTTACCCTTGTCTGTCCAACCAACAGCCAGAAGTTTCTCAATCTTGGCATCTTGGCCAAAAACATGTAGTGCAAACTGAGCTAAATAGCACCCAAGGTCAAGTGCCATTCCACCACCTAATTCGCGTCTATGTAAACGTTCCACTTTATCCTACAAAACAAAAAGTCGAGATTAAACAACCTACTGATAGTGCCTATCGCAGCAATAAAAAAAAACCTTACAAACATTGGATGGCCCAAGCTCGCGTCTACAACCTGTACCTCGCCGACTTTCCCTTCGTCAATTATTTTACGAATTTCTCTGTATATTTGAAAGTATCGGCTCCAAAACGCCTTAAAAACACATATTAAGTAACAATCCGCTAGCCGTCTTTTGGAAAAGCTAGTGTTGAAATCTGACGACATGAAAAAATTGAAAAACAACTGGTCCTGGACAAAATAAAGTTCCAGTTACATAATGCTTCACCTCTTGCAAAAAGACGCCATTCTTTTTAGCTGCTTCGAACATTTCTACAACTTCAGCTTTGCTCAGACCCATTGGCTTTTCGCACAAAATACTCTTTTTTGCATTTGCACAAAGAATTACATCATTTTTGTGTTGATTATTACGCGTTCCGACGTAGACAATGTCTGAAAAGTATGTTACAGTGTCCAAATGTATTTGGAAATATTCAGCGAGCCAAATTTACCTTCCTGAAAATTGAGAAATAAATTATTATTGCGTTATTGCGTCTACTTTTGCGTCTCAGTTTAGAATGCGAAAATTTTTTAAAAAGTGTTTTAAAAAGTTTTAAAAAGTGAATTTCAGCTATGAAAGAAGTGACAACATAATGTTACCGATATTGGGATCCCGTACAAACTCTTCATATGAACCATAAGGAACAGCATCAGTTAACTGATGCTTTTTCTTGAACTCTTCGGCCCGTTTGAAATCTTTTGAGCCAATCGCAACAACCTAAAAAAACTGACCATATAAAATGCAATAAAAGTATGCCTCTA